AATAGAATAGAATAGAATAGAATAGAATAGAATAGAATAGAATAGAAAATATGGAATAGAATAGATTCGAATAGAATAGAAAATATGGAATGGAATAGAGTGGAGTGGAGTGGAATGGAATAGAATTCTTTATTGGCCAAGTGTGATTGAACACACAAGGAATTTGTCTTGGTGCAAATACTCTCAGTATAAGTGAAGGGTAGGGAGAATGGAATGGAATAGAATAGAAATTGGAATAGAAATTAGAATAGAATAGAAATTGGATGGGATTGGAATTGAATGGAATGGAATAGAACAGAATTCTTTATTGGCCAAGTGTGATTGGACATACAAGGAATTTGTCTTTGGTGCAAATGCTCTCAGTGTCCATAAAGAAAAAATAAAATACATTCATCAAGAATCATAAGATACAACACTTAGTGATAGTCATAGGTTACTAAACAAGCAGTCAAATCATACTAGGAAACAAAACAATATAAATTGTAAAGATACAAACAACACACTTATAGTCATAAGTGGGAAGAGATAGGTACTAGGAAGGATAAGAGGAATAATAGTAATACAGTATTAGTAAATAAGTTGACAGTGTTATTTGTTTAGCAGAGTGATGGTGTTTGGGGGAAAACTGTCCCTGTGTGTAGTTGTTCTGGTGTGCAGTGCCCCATAGTGTCGTTTTGAGGGAAGGAGTTGAAACACTTTATGTCCGGGATGTGAGGGGTCTGTAGATATTTTCACAGCCCTCTTTGTGACTCGTGCAGGATATACAAGTCCTCAATGGAAGGCAGGTTGGTAGTAATTGTCTTTTCTGCAGTCTTAATTACACTCTGGAGTCTGTGTCTGTCCTGCTGGGTTGCAGAACCAAACCAGACAGACGACAGACTGAATAATTCCTCTGTAGAACTGGATCAGCAGCTCCTTGGGCAGTTTGAGCTTTCTGAGTTGGCGCAGAAAGAACATTCTTTGTTGTGCTTTTTTGATGACGTTTTTGATGTTAGGTGTTAGGTGTCCATTTTAGGTCATGTGATATAGTACAACCTATAAATTTGAAGGTTTCTACTGTTGATACTGTGTTGTCTAGTATTGTAAGAGGTGGACGTATGGGAGGGTTTCTCCTAAAATCTACCACCATTTTTACAGTTTTGAGTGTATTTAATTCAAGATTGTTCTGTTGCACCACAAGGCTAGTTGTTCAATCTCCTGTCTACATGCAGATTAATCGTTGTCTCAGATGAGACCAATCAGAGTTGTATCATCTACAAAACTTCCGTACTTTAACAGAGGGATCCTTTGAGATGCAGTCATTGGTGTCTAGAGAGGAGAGAACACACAGCCCTGGAGGGCTCCTGTGTTAATTGTACAGGTATCAGGTGTGATTCTATTTATTTTATTTATTTATTTATTTATTTATTTGATTTGCCAATTGTTTACAAGATAATAAGTATAAGTGTATACATAGTTGTGAATACATGAAATGGGTACATATAAGAAAAATAAAAGAAAAATAAAAAGAAACAATAGGACAGGGACGGTAGGCACGTTGGTGCGCTTATGCACGCCCCCTACAGACCTCTTAGGAAAGGGGTGAGGTCAATAGTAGACAGTCTAAGGTTAAAGTTTTTGGGGTTTGGGGAAGAAACTACAGAGTCGGGTAGAGTATTCCAGACATTGACCACTCTATTGCTGAAGTCGTATTTCCTGCAATCAAGTTTGGTGCGGTTTACTTTGAGTTTGTATCTATTGTGTGCTCTTGTGTTGTTATGGTTGAAGCTGAAGTATTCATTGACAGGTAGGACATTGCAATGTATGATTTTATATACCATGCTTAAGTCAGACCGAAGACGGCGTAATTCAAGGTTTTCTAGGTCTAGAATTTCAAGTCTGGTGGCATAAGGTATTCTACAACGAGTAGAGGAGTGGAGAACTCTTCTTGTGAAATATTTCTGGACTTTCTCAATTGTGCTAATATCAGATACGTAATGAGGGTTCCAGACTGATGAACTGTATTCGAGTATTGGTCTAGCAAATGTTTTGTATGCTCTGGTTAGTAGTGTGATATTACCAGAGAAAAAGCTACGTAGGATTAGGTTAACAACTCTTAATGCCTTTTTGGCTATGTAGTTGCAGTGGGCTCTAGCACTCAGATCATTAGATCTTGACTATTCAGTTTGTATTTTATTTTCTGATTTTTTTTTGCCAATATGTAAGACAGAGCATTTATTTGTTGAGATTTGAAGTTGCCATTTGTTTGACCATTCGGATACATAGTCAAGATCTTTTTGTAGGGTAGCAGTATTGTCTGTGGTATTGAACAGCTTTACATCATCAGCGAAGAGAACGCAATTGCTCTTAATATGATCACAGAGGTCGTTTATGTAGAGTATGAAGAGATTTGGTTCTAGAACACTGCCTTGGGGGACACCACTATTGACAGATACTGGATTTGATAGGACGCTCCCGATTTTGACCATTTGTTGTCTGTTTGACAGGAATGCTTCTATCCAGTTATTCAGTTGTCCAGAGATACCATAGGATTTTATTTTTAGGAGTAGTTTGTCGTGTACCACTGAATCAAAGGCTTTACAGAAGTCTATGTAGATTGCGTCTATTGCTTTGCCCTGGTCGAGTTGTGTCGTCCATATGTTTTTGCAGTGTAAGAGTTGCAGATTACAGGATAGTTTTTTTCTGAAACCAAATTGTTTATTGGAGAGTAGGTTGTTTGTCTCTAAGTGGAGGATGATGGATTGGTTAATAATTGATTCCATGACTTTGCAGGTGACGCAGCATAAGGAGATTGGCCTGTAATTTTCGACTAGGCTTGGGTCTCCCTTTTTGAAGATGGGGATGACTGTGGCTTGTGACCATAGGTTAGGCAAGGAGCTGGTCCTGAAAGATTTTTCAAAGATTATGCTTAGAGGTTTGGCTATGGCAGTGGATAGCTTTCTTAAGAAGTAGGCACATATTCCATCCGGTCCAATAGATAGAGATGGTTTTAGATTGCGTAGTGATTTTTCAACATTGTGTTCTGTGAAATCGATATGTATTAGGTCATTGTTGTTATCTGTGGTACGGCTAGGAAATACTGGGCATGATCCATTGCTGTTTACAAATACTGAGCCGAAGAATGTGTTAAAGATGTTGGCTTTAATGGTGTCATCGTTGCAGTCTTTACCATCAGGTCCTATCAAGGGAGGGATGGACCTTGAGTCTTTTAGTTTGTTGTTTACAAAATTGTAAAAAGCACGGGTGGAATTGGTGCTTAGAAGGTTTTCCTCTTGTTTAATGTGATAATTGGTGCATTCGGTCTTTATCTGGTGGCATAAATTTTTGTATCGGTTTTTGAAATTGGCAACGTGACCAGATTTGTTTTTCCGCCAGAGTGATCTCTTTTTGGATTGAAGTTTCCTTATTGATATGGGTAATCTTCTTTTTTGTTTTGTTTTGGGAGTTGTTGTTGGAACAGATAGTTTGATGACTCTTTTGATTTCAAGTAAGAATATGTTGTAATGGACTTCAACGGTATTGCATCCAGAGAATAGAGATTGCCAATCAAGGGATGAGAGGTCGTTGTCTATAAGATCATAGTTGCCTTTTTTGAAGTTACAATTGGGGATTACATCATTGTGGTGATTTTTGTGTGGACGTATGTTGAGATAAAAGTCAATCATATTGTGGTCACTGCTGGAAAAGGGTTCTTTAGTTTGTATTCCGTAAATTAAATTCAAGCTATTGCAGAAGATGAGATCGAGGCAGTTTTTTAGTCTAGTGTTGTTGGTTACTAGTTGTTCCAGTCCCAGATTTGTAATAGCATTGTAGAAGGTTGTGTGTATGATTTCAGTTGTACATTCATTTAGGGTCCAGTCGATATGAGGTAGATTGAAATCACCAAGAAAGATAAAAGGGTATGGGCAGGATGCAGCCCATGTTAGTAATGTATTTAGCTTGTTTACATGTTCGATGTCATAATCAGGTGCTCTGTAACATAGTAAGAATCGAATTGTGATATTTAAGGATAGTTCACAGATGATGGTTTCAGGAAGGGCAAGCTCCTGGGTAACTTGGATATTTTTTAGATGTAAGGATTTTTTATAGAATATAGCAACACCACCTCCTCGACGATTTTCACGATCTGATCGGTAAACATGATAGTCTCTTACTGTGGTAATGGAGTCGGGGAGAGATGCATTGAGCCATGTTTCACAGACAGAAATCAGAGCCATGTTTCACAGACAGAAATCAAAACACAATCAGAGTTGTATCATCTACAAAACTTCAGTACTTTAACAGAGGGATCCTTTGAGATGCAGTCATTGGTGTCTAGAGAGGAGAGAACACACAGCCCTGGAGGGCTCCTGTGTTAATTGTACAGGTATCAGGTGTGATTCTGCCTACCTTCACCTGCTGCTTCCTGTCTGTTAGGAACCTTATGATCGACTTACAAGTGTGGTCAGGTACAGCTAGGAAAGGAATGCAGGAAAGAGATGCGTTTGAGAATCCGGCGTTGTGATTAACAATTTTCTATTAGTTTATATTGTAGCATGCAAAGAAAATACAAAAGCAAATAGTAGGAAAAATGGGGAAGGGAAGAGTGTGGAAAAGAAGAGAAAAAAAAAAAGGCATTGATTTCTGACTCCTTTCGGTGCATTAGAATAAGGCATTAACATCAAGCCACAACGTTTTACTTTTACATAATAGTTTAAACGAGCCCTTTTTAATAACAAGAAGTCTATCTAATCGGTAAAAAACAAAGTCAAAGTTTCATTTTTTCTCCCACCTCAAGCACAAAGTCCAGAAGCGGTTTCCAGGAAGAAATAAAAGTTTTTGGTTTTTTATCAGTGTTATGGCCGTCAGCGGTCAGCGGAGCTGGCAGCAGATTCAAACAGTAAGGAGGTTGGGGAGGACCATGGGCAGGTCCTGGAGTCTGGGGAAGGCTCGGACGAGGGCTCTGCGTTGGAGGCAGAGATGGGGCCAGTGCCGTCCGATAGTTATCAGCTGCCTTCAGAGTCGGAGATCAGTAGGGAAGAAGAACA